GTTTTGCTTTTCGTTCAACTGATAGAAGCTTATATTTTTCCATCTGAAGCAGACAACTTATGCTGTCCATACTGTATGTGCATGGGCAAGTCAATGATCACACCATGTCTCCATGCTGCATTTCCATTCCATGTTAAGTCACAGAAGGCCAATAAACTGCTGTTTAATAAACTATGACTGTGCCTCAGATCTAGGCTTGCTCAACTTGGCTTTTTTATATATACTTCTGGCTTCATTTCTATGTTTAGTCTTCAAAATGGCCATTTTTGGAAATGGTGTGAATGACCCTTTTCAGAGAGGCTAACAAGTAAGATATCTTGCAAGATGTGGAGGTACCCTTCAAGGGAAAAGGACTTGAGAGCACTTGGATACTTCCAGATCAAGCTGTTAGAACTATAATTTAGACTCTGTTATAGAAAGAGTTGAACAAAATAAATTATCTATCCACAAATACCACATGTAAAGACCTGCTATTCAGTACAACTTCCTTCCAGCAACTCTTTCTATCTGTGTAAATGATCAGTGGAGAGGCATGTCATTGCAGAAATGCCACCTTCATTGTCACATGCCAAGACGCATACAACATTATTCTGTCTAAAAGCAATGTTCCTTTTTGGGCTGCAAGTAGAGCCATGGGGAATCAATATAAAAAAGTCAAAGTGTGCATCTGTCTTGTACCTATGGTATGTATGGCCAGTTCCTTTCTTAAAGTGCAAGTTTCATTTACATATTACACACTATTAAGCAGAGTCCCAAAGTTCAGTTATATCATAACGCACATCCAATTCCTAGTCCTTTTTAATTTCTTTTTGTATAAAGTTCTCCTCCCCCATAGATGCTGGCAGCATCTGAAATGGAATAAGGGACCAAGATACCCAAATATCATCAAGTATTCTCTTAGTCTGGTAACTTCAGAGCAAAGCATTTGGGACCTCTTTTGCAAAAAATCTTCCTGGCCCTTGACAGAACATGGGGTAAAGCTAACACCCTGGAGAGGAGGAACCAGAACCAGGCTGACCTCGGCAGGTTGGAGAAGTGGGCCGAGAGCAACAGGATGCAATTCAGTAAGGACAAGTGCAAGGTGCTGCATCTAGGGAGAAAAAATTGCCATCATACTTATAGGTTGGGGGGCAGCCTTCTCAGCACCACTGAGGCAGAAAGAGATCTTGGAGTCACTGTTGACTCCAGGATGAACATGAGTCGTCAATGTGATGAAGTAGTCAGCAGAGCCAATCGCACTTTGTCGTGCATCCGTAGGTGCTTCACAAACAGGTCCGGGGAGGTGATTCTTCCTCTCGACACAGCACTGGTCAGGCCACATCTGGAGTACTGTGTCCAGTTCTGGTTACTGCAGTTCAAGTTGGATGCAGACAACCTGGAGAGGGTCCAAAGAAAAGCCACTCATCTGACTGGAGGCCTGCAGGGAAGGCCCTATGAGGAAAGGCTAAGGCCTTAACCTCTTCAGTCTCTCCAAGAGAAGGCTGAGAGGGGACGTTGTGGTGGCATACAAATTCATAAGGGGAGAGCAACACGAAGTAGGCGATGCTCTGTTGTTCCAGGGGGTGCCCTGGTAAACAAGGAACAATGGCCATAAGTTATTGGAGAGTAGGTTTAGACTGGACATCAGAAAAAAATTCTTCATGGTCAGGGTTGCCAGGATCTGGGCTTCCAAGGGAGGTGGTGCTCACCCCATCCTTGGGGGTCTTCAAGAGGAGACTGGACAGGCACCTGGCTGGGATCACATGATCCCAGGTTTGGTGACCCTTTTCTTGCCTGCCGGGGCAGGGGGTCGAACTAGATGGCCGACTGAGATCCCTTCCGACCCTAGAATCTATGGGAAAAAGCCAATGTGGTTCTGCTGTCCTGGGCAAGAAGAAATGGAGAGAATTCTAGAGGGACACTGCAGTCTCTTGCGCACTGCAGAATTGAGCCCCATAGTTCAATAGCAACTCTCCCTGCCAGTTCTGAGCAAATTGGAGGAATGTGGTCAGTGGCACATAAAACTCAGCATAGTGCAGAGTGGGAAAAACAGCTGACCATGACTCCAGCACCCAGGCTTCCATCCAGGTGCCTTGTAGTTCCCATTGCATTGGGGGATAAATTACATGTGCATGTGTGTATGCTTGAGTGCAACATTTGTCAGTCTTCCACATGCAAAGCTTTTTATTCATGCCGTTGTGCAGGGAGCCAGGGACAGGGGACCATATTGGGAGCCTCCTTTAGATGAGACATTAAGATGTCATACATCTCCTTAGTGGTTAAATGAAAGACAGACAGTAATGAAAGAACATGAAGGAACAGTGGGTAAAGGTTCTGCTTAAAGCCTTGTCATATTTGTCCTTCAGGAAGCTCCTTCTATGCTGTAGCTAGCTACATCTTTAAGCCAGTTAACTGCCTTTGTCAGTGCAACATCAGGCTTATACGTTAAAATTCCAGAGCCAGAAATAGTTGTACTGGATGATCTATATCATACAGCACTTAAGTGAATTAATATTTTTATACTTCATGAGGTACTTCAAACACACACACACACACACGCGCGCGCGCGCGCAAAGTACAAGAAAGAAATTCTGCATGACTTTCTGGCCAAGTTCTACACTTGGCAACATGGCTTTAATCAAAAGCAACCTCTCCAAACAGAGACAGAAAAAGGAATAGTACAAGGTCTCTCTAAGCAGAGTTGAACTTCAGATCACATCAGTTGTTGGGGAAAATCTGTAGGGGAGTATGGTGGGATTTGCTGTAGCTGCAAGAACTCTTGGGAACTATTTAGTATGCCATTAGTAAGACTGTCTAAAAACAATTTGCATCTTTTGAAAGGGATGCTAATAGGGGTCATCCAGATCAAATCCTTACATCAGCCTTGGGTTAGAAAGAAGCCAGAAGTGTTTAGTTTACATTTGTTGTAGTTGACCAGTTAGCTATCATTTGAAATTTAAAAAGTTTTTGTTAAGGCATTTCTCTCTTAGTTTTGCAAGTTTGGTCAGCAGTTACTTAACTCTATTAAACTTGATTTTATTTGATAATAAGAGCTGAGGTAAGCTAACTTTGAAGTTCTCTGCATTTGGGAGGATTGGCAAAATGCTGTTAGCATTGCACAATCATTTTGCTAAGATAAATGCATAAATTAACTTATCCATGAGCAGTGATCATTTTCTCTGCTTTCTCTTTAGAAAGCTTTCTGCTTTCTATAGCCTCTGATGAAATAAGATGTTGTTTATGAAAGCTTACGCGTCTCTGATTTAGTCAGTCTGCAAGGTGCCCAGTCTACAATGTCTACCCTACTTTCTGCTTGACTTATCCAGCAATAATGGCACAGCTCTGACTGTTACATGCAACAGTTATTGTGGCTGTTGTGGCTGACTAACTTTTTAAAAAGAAAACTCATTTTTTCCACAGGAGCTGTACTCCAAGCTGCATTCACTTGGCAAGGTGGAATCTGAAAGCTTGTTGACACTGACCACCCAACTTCTCAAGGAAAAGCTGCCAGCCTGTGAAGTGGAAGACATTGCTAAATACGAGCAGCAGCTTAAGGAGTGGGAGCAGGAACAAATGTTTCTCACTGAGAGAGAGAAAGAGCTGCGAGAAAATGCCAGGAAGAAGCTAGAAGCAAGGCAGTTAGCTCATGCATCTGTTCAATAGTACAACTCAGAGACTGCTGTATTGCTATAGATCTTTTGGTAATAAAGATAAGTTCATGCCGCTATTAATACAGCTGTACAACCATGCTGTGAATGTGACATTAAATGTATGCAAATTAGACTCTAACTCTAATTGTTTCCATCCATTCAGCCTGTTTCCTGAAGTAAAATTCATACAGTTTAGAATTATCCCTGCATATTACTCTAGTTAGCAGGTGGAAAAGTTGGAGGAAGAGATTAAGAGAGATGAGAAGCAGCCAGCTGTTTGGTGGATGGCTTTGAGACTAGAGCAAGTCTGAACCAAAGAAAAGAAAAAACATCAAAAAGCAAATGCTTTAGCTGACCTTTCTTCCCTTCACTTTGGCTTTATCTCAGTGCACTAGGGCCTTCTCCATAACAGAAAATAATTCCTGGGCTTCCTTTAGCTCATGAGGATTAATATGATAGACACCAGCAACTCCTATTTGGACAAATCCAGTCACTAAATATAGACTCAGAAGTCTAATTTTGACACCTCATTTTTGAAAACTTAGCCTATGCAGTTAAGGCTGGTACAGGCACAAACATTTCCACTTCACTCATTCCCTCTACTCAAACATTGGGGTCAGTGAAGAAGCATTCCCATCCCCCCCTTCAGACACCAGCAAGCCATCATTTTTCTTAATTTTGAGGCATTGCTCACCCTCTGCCTGTTTATTCCTGACCTCAGATGCTTACGTAATCTTAATGACCTGCAGTCATTGAGAGGTGTCAAAAACAGTTAACAGGGCATGCTGTGAGCACAGACCAAGATGAAGTTGGGGACAGACAGGGATTATGGTAGATTAGAAACATCCTATCTATTTTTTGTTTCATACTGTTACAACATGTTCAAATCATTGGGCTCAGATGAACTTCATCCAAGGGTGCTGAAGGAATTGGCCAGTGTCATAGCAGAGCCACTGGCACAGCTCTTCTAGCACTCATGGTGCTCTGGTCAGGTCCCAGAGGACTGGGAAAGGGCCAGTGAGATCCCTATTTTCAAGAAGGGGAAGAGGGATGAACCGGGAAACTATAGGTCAGTCAGTCTCACCTCTACCTTTGAAAACTCTGGAAAATCATTAAGGATCACATTTGTGGGAGCCCAGCAGGGGAAATAATGCTGAAAGAAAATCAGCACGGATTCATTGCAGGTAGGTCCTGCCTGACTAACCTTGTTTTTTTTTTATGACCACGTCACAAAATGCTTAGACGCAGGAGTTGAGGTAGATGTTATCTACCTAGACTTTTAAGAAGGCCTTCGATACAGTATCTCATTCTGCTCTTGTAAATAAACTAACAGGCTGTGATGTAGATGATTACATGGTCAGGTGGGCAAATTGGCTTGGGGTCGCACCCAGGGAGCGGTGGTGGATTGGGCAGTGGAGTCCCACAAGACTTGGTCCTTGAACCAGTGCTATTCAATGTCTTCATCAGGGACTTCAACGAGGGCATGGAGAGCACCCTGTCCTAGTTCGCAGGTGACACCAAATTATGGGGCAAAGTTAACATACCAGAGGATAGGGAATGTATCTAGGCAAATCTGGCCAGGTTGCAAAAAAGTGGGCAGAATGAAATAGGATGCAGTTCAACAAAAACAAGTGCAAAATGCTGCACCTGGGCAAAAAGAACCACCACCACACTTACAGACTGGGGGGGTGACCTCAGCAGCACAGCAGTGGAAAGGGATCTTGGGCATCATAGTTGACTCCAAGATGAATGAGTCGTCAATATGATGAAGTGATCAACAAGGCTAACCGCACTTTGTCATGCATCTACTAATTCATGATGAACAGGTCCAGGGAGGTGATGGTTCCCCTCTATGCAGCACTGGTGCGGCCGCAGTTGGAGTACTGCATCCAGTTTTGGGCACTATACTTCAAGAGAGATGCAGGAGAATCTTGAGAGGGTTCGGGGAGGGCTGCTTGTATGGTCAGAGGCCTGCAGGCAAGGCCCTACAAGGAGAGACTGAGGGACCTAGATCTCTTCAGCCTTCACAAGAGAGGTGATCTTGTGGCTGCCTGTAAATTTGTTAGGGGAGGCAGCAGGGAATAGGGGATGCTGTATTTACTAGGGCACCCCCTGGACTAACTAGGAACAATGACCACAAACTGACAGAGAGCAGATTTAGGTTGGACATTAGAAAGAACTTCTTCACAGTGAGGGTTGCCAGAATCTGGAATGGGCTTCCAAGGGAGGTGGTGCTCTCCCCTACCTTGGGGGATCTTCAAGAGGAGGCTGGACAAGCACCTCGTTGGGGTCATCTGACCACAGCACTCTTTCCTGCCCGGGGCAGGGGGGTCGGACTCCATGAGCTACTGAGGTCCCTTCCAACCCTAACATCTATGAATCTATGGATATAAGAACATAGGCGGCCAGAGAACCTACCCACTTTCTGACAGGACAAAAGTTTCTTACTTAACAGAAAGGAAGTCCAGGTAACAACCATTGTGTGTCGTATCCTGGTGGAACACTACTGCAGCATTTACAGATGGCTACCTCTAATTTAGCAGAGTGTTTGGTAAGTATTTTTTACCTTAACATAGGATTGTCCATTGCAATGGTTATAAAGAACTCTTTTGTGACTCCATTGCGACTCAGAGCCCCAAAACCAAACTATGCACATCTGTAGTTAAGTGAGTTTGAATGTAGGACAAGTCCTTCAGAACATGTACATTTAAAAGCAAATCACTCCTAGTTCCAGTGTGTTAGCTCAGGATCTACCTCAGCTTGTTTGTGTTGTAACATTGCAATGGAAGTACTCACCCGGGATCCAACTGCACAGCCAAGCTCCATTTCTTCTCAATAAAGGCAGTCTCCTCTCAGCTACTGAATCTTTCTTTTGAGTTAGAAAGTAAACACCAGTTCTTGTTCCTCTAAGTCCTTCCTTTGTATGCAAGGAACTGAGGATGTCAAGGCATCTCCTTCCACCCTCCCTGCAAGCTCCTGCTTGAGATCTCTTAAAAAGAGACCAGCTAGGATTCAGGTCTCTACTACCTCAACTGTTTCAAGCTAAAAACAGGCCTCCTGCTCTCCACAAGTTTTAAATCTATTAATAATAACCCTGTGCTCCTTAATCTGGGCCTCTGATCAAAGGGCTCACAAATAGTCCTGTATCTGTGAGCCCCTACCACAGCCCCTCAGTATGAACCCACAAACAGTTTCAGATTGTCTGCTCCATCTTTGACTTTCAGCTCAATCACAATCCTTTCCTTGGGATCCTCTTCCCAGCCTCATGGCAGTCCTGAGCTTCACCCAAGGCTCTTCCCTATCCTACCATGAAGAAACACCACACCCCTGTGATTTGTGCTACAAGATGCTTTTATTGTTCCACATCACATGACTATCATGTGACCTCTTTAAACAACAATAGGACACATGCTTACCAGGTACTTGCTGGTGCTGGGCTGGTCCACAAGGGGAGCATTGCTGTAGGTCTTGTTTCTTTAGCTGCCATCATATGATCCTCAGTAGTGCTGCAAGGAGCTTGACACTGCTTCCATTTATTTAGCTTTACATTATAAAAAGGCCTGTACAGGAGCTGTAGGAGCCTTACAAGTTAACTAATATTACAACAAGCAGCATTAGAAACACACACACACACAAAGAGGAAAAAATAAGCCAGCCTACTACACAAAGCCCCTTTCTGTCCCATTTTGTTCCAGAAACACACACCCAATCCTTCACTAAAACCCTATCAAGTCAATGGGGTTTTTGCATCATGCTTGAAAGACCACCAAATCTGGGCTATTTCTGAATAGAACTCCTCCCACGTCTAGAATGAAGGGAATCCAGACCAAGTACCTTTGCCAACTGTGCCCATGTCAAGTGTGGCACAGGAGGAGAGGCATGCTGTTGCATTGGCAGGTCCCAGGCTATCTTACAACTTTCAGGGTCATAACCAAATGTAAAGTCCACTGGGAGATCCATGTCTCCACCAATCCCCTAGTTCCACTTCAATCCCACTGAGCTTCTCCCTAGCTAATCAGCAAGCTCTCCACCACACACTGGTGACTCAGAGCTTCACAACCCACTGCCACACTTAGGCCAGATCTTCCAATCCAGGGATCCTTCAAGTTTGAGGGTAACCTATTTCTAACCCCCACCCCCAAATTCAGCAAATTTCTCCCTCCAATTACTGACTTATCATCTCATGTCTTCCCCAATCCCTCAGCAATACCCTACTGCCAGCATAGTAGACCCAGGCCACAGAACCTTTTGTCTTTTCTGAGGTCAGCAACTTCCTCATGTCTCCAACATGTCATGTCTCCCACAGATCTCACCGTGGTGCTCAGTAGCAATAATATTGCTAAGGGTGGGCAAGTGGAGCACCAGCCTGGGGCACCAGAGTGGACACAATATTAGTGCCACTGCTGACCCAGCCACCATGCTTGCCCAAGGCATGAAAAACTCCCTGTCACACCCTTGCTTGGTAAAGAGGCTTCTCTAGTTGGACTGGGCTGGCTGGGCATATTGTGAGGAATAAGCATGTATAATAAAATGGAAATCATCTAAGAATAGCAATGTCCAGTTGTCTGATTGATTGGTATAATGTCAAGTGAGTATTCTCTATGGCTGTCTCAAGGCACGTAGGTCCAGTAAATGCCTGTGCATATAAAATAGCAAGGAAAATCAGTAGCAGCATCAGCTTGCTTTGCCTCACTTCCTTCCCCCACCTCATATAAAAGGTTAAATTTCATTTTCTCCCTTCTCCTGACTCATGTCCCATTTGCCAGATTTTGCAGTCTGTTTTCCAGGTGCTGGATATATCATCTCAGTCACATTCAATGCAATTGTGCACACATACATCAATGGCAGAATAATATATTTGGGACCAGGCTTTCAAGGGGCTCATCCCAGCCTTTGTTTGTCTGCCTGCTCTTCAAATGTTTGAATGCCTCTCATGTGACAAGGGATACCTCCATGTGCAGCTAGCATCAGTGATAAAATAGGTTTGGCTCATGGTAAAAAGTGGGCCTGCCTAACCAGCTGCTTCTGTTTTAAAAATAAAGCTCTCTATATTCCTTACAAATATGAAAGGTTTATTAACTGAATAAGTCCTGCACAGCCTGTCTTTGAAACATAAGGAAGTTCACTTCGGGCTCACATGTCAACTCTTCCCCAGCAA